AGTGCTTCTTTGATGATTTTATGCTGCCATCTCGTGGCTAAATCGACAGTGCCGGCTTTTGTTGGGTCCTAATTTAGCAGGCGAGAGGATGTACAGATTAACATAGTGACAATCCTAAAACTGGAATAATCTGAATCTTTAAAAAGAAGACCTGATTTCTTCCTATTGCGTGCCACGTGATTGGGAGCCCCAAGAAGAGGATGCTAACACAGCTATGGCATGGCCACAGAAAATATGCCTGAAACATCCCCATCAGAGCCCAACTCTTACTAGCTAATTGACTTTGAGCAAGTCACTTTTCCGTCTAGTGTCTCAGTTTCCATACTTCTGATTCTAACAGGTTTAGAAAATGGAGCCAAGCAGTAGTGAAGGTGAGGCCAGGTTGGGAAGAGGAGGAAGTAAAGTGAGTTGAAAGCTAGTGGGGGCAGGGGCGTAAGTAAAACCTGAAGGTAATAAATGGCAGAAGAGGGCAGGACTGCTCTAGGGCAAAGGCCTAGGCAAATATTTTTCAGAAGTTCCTTTCAATGTAAACAGTTTGATTAAAAATATATTACAAATACATGGGCCCATGTGAGGTGTAGTGATTTATCAATGAAAATTTAGAATACCAGGTGGAGAAGAGATGCTTACATATTTGTTTATTCAACAGTTCAAATACCAATTTTTATAATGACCTTGCACCATATCTTCCTTTTTAGGTCCAGAAATCATCTCTTTATGTTTATTGTTAAATGCACCATTCCTGGCTAATTTCATATCTCCCTCCATGAGAAAAACATAGCAACACTGTAATACTTCCATTGCAACGGCACTCTGGAACTTCTTTGTATTGAAACTATAAATTTCTTGCTTTTGCAGTTTCTTTAGCCTAAGGGTCAACAGTGGACTTAGGTAGGCCACAGCTCTGAACGTGTCCTGTGTCCAATGTGAGTGTCACCCCATAACGGCACATCAGCACCATTTTGCATGCCTAACCTTAAGAATTACCATTTAAAAAAATCCAGTGACAACCAGTGAGAGTGATCTGCTAGTGTGACTGCCCACCTGGAACCAGGGCCTGGTCACAGAAACCCAGGGCAACCAGTTTATAAATTGTCTTTTTGCCTTTTTATTTTAAAAGGTATTTTTGTGAAACAAAAGGTTTTAATTTCAGAGTCAAATTTATCAATCTTTTATAGTTGATGCTACTTGAGTCTTTAGAAAATTTTCCCCCAACCAAATTTCTTTTTTCTTTTTTGGAGATGGAGTCTTGCTCTGTCGCCTGGACTGGAGTGCAGTGGCACAATCTCAACTCACTGCAACCTCCGCCTCCCGGGTTCAAGTGATTCTCCTGCCTCAGCCTCCCGAGTAGCTGGGATTATAGGTGCCTGCCACCATGCCCGGCTAATTTTTGTATTTATAGTAGAGACGGGGTTTCGCTATGTTGGCCAGGCTGGTCTCAAACTTCTGACCTCAGGTGATCCACCCACCTCGGCCTCCCAAAGTGCTGGAATTACAGGCTTGAGCCACCATGCCTGGCCAACCAAATTTCTTAAAAGTATAGAACATTTCCACACTTGCAGAAACTTCTAGTAGATAAAGATGTATTAGAGGTTTGGTAATCCGGTTTTTCTGATAGCTGCTTCGTAGGTGTCACCGTAGGTAGTTTCACTTTTTGTTAAGCATTGTTTTCTCAAAGGTACCATTGTATTGTACCACTTTACAATACAATAACCCTCATTTGGAATGACAAGTCAGATTACTTTTTTTGTTTGATCCAAGGACACTTAGAAGATGGAAGGTATTTCTTAAGGAAGAAAATTTGCATACTTTATTATTTATCTGGAAACTGAAGAGCAAGCTTACCTGATAGATTTGGGTTGATGGTTACACCTTCCAGTTCAGCCACTGGGAGGGTAACGTATCCTTTGACTTTCTAGAAGTTGCTCTATAATGCTTAAGTTGCCATTGTCTCCCGTCTGGTTCTCTGTTGTTTCTCGAATAATATAGAAGAGTTTATGAGATTAATTGCTTCCTACTGAAATAGCCAGGTTTCTGAGGGCAGCTTTGGCTTTTATATGAGCTTTTTTTCCTACCACTTACCAGTTACTGACAGAGGGTCAACTTCACTACTGTGCCATTGTGGTTGGTCCAATGTTGGGTTCCTCAGATTCATGGAGGAAATAGGAAAATAGTAAAGATTAAGGAGTCATAGTTAAAAAATTACAAACAGGTCACAAACAGTACTCTTTCTTGATTATTTAGGAACTAAATAGCCATTCTATGAAATGTCTTTCTTTCCTTTTTCTCTCTTGTTCACCAATTGACTCATAAGCACTTCCGTTCTCTTATGATTGGGAGCCATACAAGGTAGGGTGTTGGAGTAAAAAATACATTGACTCTGAATCATGGTGTGTGACCTCAGACACATGATGTAACCTCTATAGGACTCTATTATAATGTATAAAACAGGAATAATCGTTTATTACTATCTATGTAATACATATTCCATTATCTATTACATTGGATAATGGAATGGGAAGTTCCTTGAAGATGGTACTAACCTCAATGTATTACTCCTTTCTAGCTTCTTTGGTACAAAAGTTTGGTGGAGGAGTTACAAATTCTGGTTTCAATGATACATTTGGATACTTTATCAACACATCAGAGCTCTACCTATCCCTTCCCCCAATCTCAAAACCAAACTGAATTAACATCTTCACACTTATTATGTAGTTTATGGAGGATTTTAGCATTAATTATTGCTTGATTTACTCAATGTCCCCATGTTATAGATGAGAACTGGAAAACCCATTGAAGTTGTGACTCCTGGTCTAGAAATGAAGTCTACTTCCAGTTAATGTTCTTTCTGGTATGTCTTTGCTTTCTTGAAATTTCCCTTTTTTGTCGTTACTGGGTAAATTTTGAACCAACCAAATCACAAAGATGTCGGGCTTTCAATCTTCTAGGCCACGCCTCTTATGCTCTCTCCGCCCTCAGCCCCCCCTCAGTTCTTAAAGCGCTGCAATTCGCTGCTGCAGCCATATTTCTTCCTCTCTCGGGGCTGGAAGCTTCCTGACTGAAGATCTCTCTGCACTTGGGGTTCTTTCTAGAACATTTTCTAGTCCCCCAACACCCCTTATGGCGTATTTCTTTAAAAAATCACCTAAATTCCATAAAATATTTTTTAAAATTCTATACTTTCTCCTAGTGTTTTCTTGACACGTCCTCCATATTTTTTTAAAAAAAGTATTTGGAATATTTTGAGGCAATTTTTAATATTTAAGGAATTTTTTTTTGGAATCATTTTTGGTTGACATCTTTGATTTTGTGGATCAGTTTTCTACTCTTCCACTCTCTTTTCTATATTTTGCCCATCGGGGCTGCGGATACCTGGTTTTATTATTTTTTCTTTGCCCAACGGGGCTGTGGATACCTACCTTTTAATTCCTTTTTATTCGCCCATCGGGGCCGCGGATACCTGCTTTTTATTTTTTTTTTTTTTCCTTAGCCCATCGGGGCATCGGATACCTGCTGATTCCCTTCCCCTCTGACCCCCCAACACTCTGGCCCATCGGGGTGGTGGATACCTGCTTTTTAAAAATTTTGTTTTTTTGGCCCATCGGGGCTTCGGATACCTGCTTTTATTTTTTATTTTTCCTTGCCCATCGGGGCCTCGGATACCTGCTTTAATTTTTGTTTTTCTGGCCCATCGGGGCCGCGGATACCTGCTTTGATTTTTTTTTTTCATCGCCCATCGGTGCTTTTTATGGATGAAAAAATGTTGGTTTTGTGGGTTGTTGCACTCTTTGGAATATCTACACTTTTTTTGCTGCTGATCATTTGGTGGTGTGTGAGTGTACCTACGGCTTTGGCAGGGAATGACTCTGCAGTTAAGCTAAGGGCGTGGAGGAAAAGTGGCCGCCATTTTAGACTTGCCGCATAACTCAGCTTAGGGCTAGTCGTTTGTGCTAAGTTTAAACTAGGGAGGCAAGATGGATGATAGGTCAGGCAGAGGAAGTCATGTGCATTGCATGAGCTAAACCTATCTGAATAAGTTGATTTGGGGCTTGTTACGAGCTTTGCGTGATTGTTGTATCGGGAGGCAGTAAGACAGAATCGTCTTTTGTCAGTACAAGGCACTAGTTGAAAATGAAAGGTTAGAAAAGACTAAGGTGCAAGGCTTAAAATGGCGATTTTGACATTGTGGCATTGCTCAGCATGGCGGGCTGTGCTTTGTTAGGTTGTCCAAAATGGCGGATCCAGTTCTGTCGCAGTGTTCAAGTGGCGGGAAGGCCACATCATGATGGGCGAGGCTTTGTTAAGTGGTTAGCATGGTGGTGGACATGTGCGGTCATACAGGAAAAGATGGCGGCTGAAGGTCTTGCCGCAGTGTAAAACATGGCGGGCCTCTTTGTCTTTGCTGTGTGCTTTTCGTGTTGGGTTTTGCCGCAGGGACAATATGGCAGGCGTTGTCATGTGTATATCATGGCTTTTGTCACGTGGACATCATGGCGGGCTTTTGCTCGGTGCAATCTTGGCGGGCTTGCCGCATTGTTAAAGATGGCGGGTTTTGCCGCCTAGTGCCATGCAGAGCGGGAGAGAAAGTGGGATGGACAGTGCCGGATTGTCGCATAACCCAACCAATTAGAAATGGGGGTGGAATTGATCACAGCCAATTAGAGCAGAAGATGGAATTAGACTGATGACACACTGTCCAGCTACTCAGCGAGGACTTGGGTGAATTAGCATAGCACTTTAGCCAGTCAAGAGAAAGAAGTGGAGGGGCCACGTGTATGTCTCTCAGTGGGCGGTACAGCAGGTGTTTTCAAGGTCTTTTCAAGGACATTTGGCCTTTCCACCTCTGTCCCCTCTCATTTGTCACCTTCTGTCCAGTGCTGCCTCTTGCAGTGCTGGATATCTGGCTGTGTGGTTTGAACCTCACTCCATTCCTCTGTATTGGTGCCTCACCTAAGGCTAAGTATACTTCCCCCCCCCCCCCCCACCTCCACACCTCCCCCACCTCCCTACCCCCCACCGCCCCACCCCCTGTGGTCTGCCCTACACTGCACTGTGGCCAGTGCTCCAGGCCTGTTTGGTGTGGACATGGTGGTGACCCGTGTCAAGGACCAGAATGGATCACAGATGATCGTTGGCCAACAGGTGGCAGAAGAGGAATTCCTGCCTTCCTCAAGAGGAACACCTACCCCTTGGCTAATGCTGGGGTCGGATTTTGATTTATATTTATCTTTTGGATGTCAGTCATACAGTCTGATTTTGTGGTTTGCTAGTGTTTGAATTTAAGTCTTAAGTGACTGTTATAGAAATGTATTAAGAGGCTTTATTTGTAGAATTCATTTTAATTACATTTAATGAGTTTTTATTTTGAGTTCCTTAAAATTCCTTAAAGTTTTTAGTTTCTCTTTACAAATTCCTTAACCTTTTGGCAGTAGATAGTCAAAATCAAATCATTTCTAATTTAAAAAAAATGTGCTGATTATTTTCTTTGAAATTGACTTAACTACTTTCCTTTGGATTTTGAAGAGTCTGTAGCACAGACACAGTTAAAAATTTAACTTCATGATCTAATGTAAAAAAGAGTGTTTGAAGGTTTACACAGGTCCAGGCCTTGCTTTGTTCCCATCCTTGATGCTGCACTTATTGACTAATCACCTACTTACCAGGCAGGAAACTTGAATTGCTGTGGTCTGGTGTCCTCTATTCAGACTTATATTGGAGTATTAATGTCCACATTTCAATTTTTTGTTGTATCCTGCCTGCCTAGCATCCGGTTCCTCCCCAGCCCTGCTCCCAGCAAACCCCCCTAGTTTAGCCCCAACCCTTCTCCCACCCCGCCCCAGCCCTGCCCCAGCCCCTGCCCCAGCCCCGCCCCAGCCCCAGCTCCAGCCCCCTAAGCCCCCAGCCCCGGCCCTAGTCCTAGTTCCTCAGTCCCGCCCAGCTTCTCTGGAAAGTCACTCTAATTTTCATTGATTCAGTGCTCAAAATAAGTTGTCCATTGTTTATCCTATTATACTGGGATATTCTTTTTACCCTTGGCATCGCTGATCTTCAGTACTGACTCCTTGACCATTTTCAGTTAATGCATACAATCCCATTTGTCTGTGATCTCAGAACAGAATTTCTTTACTCGGTACGTTAAAGTTAGGGAATGTCAATTGAGAGCTTTCTATCAGAGCATTATTGCCCACAATTTGAGTTACTAATCATTTTCTCAATCCCCTGCCCTTAAAGGAGAAACCATTTCTCTGTCATTGCTTCTGTAGTCACAGTCCCAATTTTGAGTAGTGACCTTTTATTGTGTACTGTTGGCCACCTAAAACTCTTTGCATTGAGTAAAATTCTAATTGCCAATAATCCTACCCATTGGATTAGACAGCACTCTGAACCCCATTTGCATTCAGCAGGGGGTCTCAGACAACCCGTCTTTTGTTGGACAGTTAAAATGCTCAGTCCCAATTGCCATAGCTTTGCGTATTAAACAAAGGCACCCTACTGCGCTTTTTGCTGTGCTTCTGGAGAATCCTGCTGTTCTCGGACGATTAAAGAACAAAGTAGTAATTGCTAATTGTCTCACCCATTAATCTTGAAGGCTACCAGTCGCCCTTGCATTTGCCTTGAGGCAGTGCTGACTACCTGAGATTTAAGAGTTTCTTAAATTATTGAGTAAAATCCCAATTATCCATAGTTCTGTTAGTTACACTGTGGCCTTTGCAAACATCTTTGCGTAACAGCAGAGGGACTCATCCTTAGAGCCCCTTCCCTTGGAATATTAATGGATACAATAGTAATTATTCATGGTTCTGCCTAACAAAAGAGACCCACTTATATGTATGCCCTTATCATTGCTCCTAGGTAGTGTGAACTGCCTACCACCTGGCATTAATATGTAAAACACTAATTGCCTATGGTCCCACTCGTTAGTCTAGGATATCCCCTTTGCCATTGCTGCTGAGTTCTGACTACCCAAGTTTCCTTCTCTTAAACAGTTGATATGCATAATTGCATATATTCATGGTTCTGTGTAATAAAAATGGATTCCCACCCCATCCCACCTTCTGTGGGATATTGCTAACGAGTGCAGATTATTCAATAACAGCCTTTGGACAGTTAATTTGCACAGTTGCAATTGTCCAGAGTCCTGTGCATTAGAAAGGAACTCTGGACTCTGTATCCTATTTGCATGTTACAATGTGGGCTGATCACCCAAGGACTCTTCTTGTGCATTGATGTTCATAATTGTGTTTGTCCACGATCTTGTGCACTAACCCTGCCACTCCCTTTGTATTCCAGCAGGGGATCCTTACTACTTAAGACCTCTGTACTAGGACAGTTTATGTGCACAATCCTACGTGATTAGAACTGAGTCTTTTATATCATGGTCCCTGCATCATCTTTGCTTTACATCAAGAGGGTGCTGGTTACCTAATGCCCCTCCTCCAGAAATTATCGATGTGCAAAATGCAATTTCCCTATCTGCTGTTAGTCTGGGGTCTCATCCCCTCATATTCCTTTTGTCTTACAGCAGGGGGTACTTGAGACTGTTAATGCGCATAATTGCAATTATGGTCTTTTCCATTAAATTAAGATCCCAACCCTCTTAGCATTACAGTAGAGGGTGCTAATCACAAGGACTCTTCTTTTGTACTGTTAATGTGCTACTTGCATTTGTCCCTCTTCCTGTGCACTAAAGACCCCACTTACTTCCCTTGTGCTCAGGAGTGGATGACCTCTACTGAAGACCTTTGCACTAGGATAGTTAATGTGAACCATGGCAGTTGATCACAGCAATGTCTTTCAGATCAGATCCATTGTACCCTCCTTGTTTTACAGCAAGGGATATTAATTACTCATGTTACCTTTCCCTGGGACTATGAATGTGCAAAATTCCAATGTTCGTGGTCTCTCCCTTTAAACCAATATTCTACCCCTTTTATATTTTATAAAGGGATGCTGGCAACCCAAAGTCCTTCTCTTGAGACTCTTAATGTGTATATTTCTAATTGTCCACGACTCTTAATGTGCGTATTTTCAATTGTCTATGGTCCCTCCCAATAAGCTAATATCTTGACTTCTCAGTATCATAGCAGGGGGTACTGATTTCCTGAAGTCTTTCTTGAACTTCCAGTGTGCACAATTGCCCTGAGGCCGGGTGTGGTGGCTCACACCTGTAATCTCAGCACTTTGGGAAGCTGAGGTGGGAGGATTCCTTAAGGCCAGGAGTTTGAGACCAGCCTGGCCAACATTAAAGAAAAATAAAGTAAAACAGTTGCCCTGGAATCCCATCCCCCTCACCCCTCCTTGGCATAGCAGCAGGAGTGCTAACTAGCTAGTGCTACTTCTCCTATACTGCTTAAATGCGCATAATTAACAGTAGTTGATGTGCCCCTGTGTTAGAGTGGAATTCCCGCTTCCTTGCTCCATTTGCATTACTGCAGGAGCTTCTAACTAGCCTGAATTCATTCTCTTGGACTGTTAATGTGCATACTTATATTTGCTCCTGTACCTTTTTATCATGTAAGGACTCCACCCACTCTATTTACATCCCAGCGGGAAGTACCTACTACTTAAGACCCTTCGACTAGTAAAGTTAGCATGCATAATCTTAGTTGTTAGATATACATTTTCATTTGTACACAGCTGTGCCTTTTATCAGGACTCCTGTACTTATCAAAGCAGAGAGTGCTAACCAACATTAAGTCCTTCTTCGGACTGTAGATGCATGTAATTGCAGTTGTCAATGGTCCTTCAATTAGACTTGGGTTTCTGACCTTTCACACCCTCTTTACTTTATTGCATGGGGTACTATTCACTTAAGGCCTCTTTCTCAAACTGTTAATGTGCCTAATGACAATTACATTAGGATCCTTCCTTTTGAAGGACAGCATGGTTGGTGACACCTAAGGCCCCATTTCTTGGCCTCTCAATATGTGTGACTGTATTTGTCCAGGTTGCTACGCACTAGAGAAGGAAAGTGCTCCCCTCATCCCCACTTTTCCCTTTCAGCAGGAAGTGCCCACCCCATAGGACCCTTTTATTTAGAGAGTCTAGGTGCACAATTGTAAGTGACCACAAACAGGCCTCTTGGACATTAATGTGCGTAATCGCACACTGCTCATTCCATGTGAATAAGGTCCTACTCTCCGACCCCTTTTGCACTACAGAAGGGGTGCTGATAACCAAGTTCCCTTTTCTTGGCATGTTATATGTGATTATAATTGTCTGGGATCCTATGCACTAGAAAAGGAGGGTCCTCTCCGCATACCTCAGTCTCACCTTTCCCTTCCAGCAGGGAGTGCCCACTCCATAAGACTCAAATTTGGACAGTCAAGATGTGTAATTGTTAAGTGAACACAACCATGCACCTTAGACATGGATGTGCATAACTACACACAGCTCATCCTATCTGAGTAAAATCCTACTCTCAGACCCCTTTTGCAGTACAGCAGGGGTGCTGATCACCAAGGCCCCCTTTCCTGGCATGGTATGCATGCGATTATGTTTGTCTTGGTTCCTGTGTACCAGATGTGGAAGCCTCCCCCGCCACACCCCCACCCCAATCTTCCTTTCCCTCCGGCAGGGAGTCCCTGTTCCATAAGACCCTTACATTTGGACAATCAAGGTGCACAATTGTAAGTGACCACAGGCATGCACCTTGGACATTAATGTGCATAACTGCACGCGGCCCATTTCATCTGAATAAGGTTCTACTCTCAGACCCCTTTTGCAGTACAGCAGGGGTGCTGATCACCAGGGCCCCTTTTCCTGGCCTGTTACGTATGTGATTATATTTGTCTGGGTTCCTGTGTGTTAGACATGGAAGCCTCCCCTGCCACACCCCACCCCCAACCTTCATTTCCCTTCCGGCAGGGAGTGCCCCCTTCGTAAGACGCTTACATTTGGGCAGTCAAGGTGCACAGTTGTAAGTGACCACAGGCACGCACCTTGGATATCAATGTGTGTAACTGTACATTGCCCATCCCATCTGAATAAGGTCCTACTCTCAGACCCCTTTTGCAGTACAGCAGGGGTGCTGATCACCAAGGCCCCTTTTCCTGGCCTGTTATGTGGGTGATTATATTTGTCTGGGTTCCTGTGTATTAGAGAAGGAAGCCTTTCCCCCCCTCCGTCCCCACTCCCAGTCTTCCTTTCCCTTCCAGCAGGGAGTACCCTCTCCATAAGACCATTACATTTGGACAATCAAGGTGCACAATTGTAAGTGACCACAGCCATGCACCTTGGACATTAATGTGCATAACTGCACATGGCCTATCTCATCTGAATAAGGTCCTACTCTCAGACGCCTTTTGCAGTACAGCGGGGGTGCTGAATCACCAGGGCCCGTTTTCCTGGCCTGTTATGTGTGATTATATTTGTCCTGGTTTCTGTGTAATAGACATGAAAGCCTCCCCTGCCACACCCCACCTCCAATCTTCGTTTCCCTTCCAGCAGGGAGTGTCCACTCCATATACCCTTACATTTGGACAATCAAGGTGCACAATTTTAAGTGACCACAGGCACGCACCTTGGACACTAATGTGCGTAACTGCACATGACCCATCCCATCTGACTAAAGTCCTACTCTTAGATCCTTTTTGCAGTACAGCAGGGGTGCTGATCACGAGGGCCCCTTTTCCTGGCCTGTTATGTGTGTGATTACATTTCTTCCAGTTCCTGTGTAATAGACATGGAAACCTCCCCTGCCACACTCCACCCCCAGTCTTCCATTACCTTCCGGCAGGGAGTGCCTGCTCCATAAGACCCTTACATTTGGACGATCAAGGTGCACAATTGTAAGTGACCACAACCACGCACCTTGGACATAAATGTGTGTAACTGCACATGTCCCATCCCATCTGAATAAGGTCCTACTCTCAGACCCCTTTTGCAGTACAGTAGGGGTGCTGATAACCAAGGCCCCTTTTCCTGGCCTGTTAACTTATGTGATTATATTTGTCTGGGTTCCAGTGTATAAGACATGGAAGCCTCCCGTGCCCCACCCCACCCCCAATCTTCCTTTTCCTTCTGGCAGGGAGTGCCCGCTCCATAAGAACCTTACATTTGGACAGTCAAGGTGCACAATTGTAAGTGACCACAGCCATGCACCTTGGACAATAATGTGTGTAACTGCACACGGCCTGTCTCGTCTGAATAAGGTCCTACTCTCAGACCCCTTTTGCATTACAGCAGGGGTGCTGATAACCAAGGCCCATTTTCCTGGCCTGTTATGTGTGTGATTATATTTGTCCAGGTTTCTGTGTACTAGACAAGGAAGCCTCCTCTGCCCCACCCTGCCTACCTGTAATCTTCCTTTTCCTACCAGCAGGGAGTGCTCACTCCATAAGACCCTTACATTTGGACAATCAAGGTGCACAATTGTAAGTGACCACAACCATGCATCTTGGAAATTGATGTGCATAACTGCACACGGCTTATCCTATTTGAATAAGGTCCTACTCTCAGACTCCCTTTGCAGTATAGCTGGGGTGCTGATCACTAAGGCCTCTTTTCTTGGCTTGTCTGTATTCTTGTGTACTAGCTAAGGATGCCTTCTCATGGACTCCCTTTGCTTTTCAAGAAGGAGTACCCACTACTTTAAGATTCTTACATTTGTCCAAAGTACATGGTTTTAATGGACCACAACAATGTCCCTTGGACGTTAATATATATAATCACCACATGGTTCATCCTGAATAAACAAGGTCCTACCCTCTCACCCTCCATTTGCAGTATACCAGGGTTGCTGACCCCTAAGTCCCCTTTTCTTGGCTTATTGACATGCATAATTGCATTTATGTGGGTTCTTGTGCCCTAGACAAGGATGCCCCACCTCTTTTCATAGTGGGTGCCCACTCCTTATGATCTTCACATTTGAACAGTTAATGGGAATAATTGCAGTTGTCCACAACCCTATCACTTCTAGGACCATTGCACCTCTTTTGCATTACTGTGGGATACACTGCTTGCCTGCAAGGCCCCTTCTGGTGGACTATCAACATACATAATTGAAATTTTCTTTTGTGTTTGTCAGTAGATTAAAGTCATGCCCCATCACCTTTCCTTTGTAGTACAGCAGGGTGTCCTGATCAACCAAAGTCCTGTTATTTTGGACTGTTAATATGCGCAATTACATTTGCTCCTGGTCTGTGCACTAGACAAGGATCCTACCTACTTTCTTAGCGTTTTTAGCAGGTAGTGCCCACTACTCAAGACTCTTTCACTTGGAATGTTCATGTGCACAAACACAATTCTCTAAGCATGTTCCTGTACCACCTTTGCTTTAGAGCAGGGGGATGTTATTCACTTAGTGCCCCTTCTCTTGGACTTAATATGCATTAATGCAATTGTCTACCTCTTCTTTTAGACTAAGACTTGATCTCCACATACTCCCCTTGCATCAGGGGCATGTTAATTATGAATGAACCCTTTTAATATTAATGTCACAATTTTATTTGTGGACCTGTGTAGTAGAAAAAGACCCTATGTTCCTTCTACTACCCTTTGGATTGCTGCTGAAAAGTGCTAACTACTCATAGTCTCAGCTCTTGGACAATTAATATGCAATAATAACAATTATCAAGGGCACTGATCATTAGATAAGACTCCTGCCTCCTCATGCATACATCAGGGGTACTGACCCACTAAGGCCCCTTGTACTGTTAATGTGAATATTTGCAATTATACATGTCTCCTTCTGTTAGAGTGGGATATTATGCCTTAGTATCCCCTTTGCCTTACTGCAGGGGCTGCCGACTACTCAAAACTTCTCCTGGGACTGTTAATAGGCACAATGGCAGTTATCAATGGTTTTTTCCCTCACTGATCTTGTTAAGCACCCCACCCCACTCTTAGTTTCCCATGGCATAATAAAGTATAAGCATTGGAATATTCCATGCACTTGTCCATCAAACAGTGGACCATACTCCCACCCCTTTTGCATTGCACCAGTGTGTAAAATCACAGTTAGCCATGGTGTCATGCTTTATGTACGAAGTCTTCCCTCTCTGCCCCTTGTGTGCCCTTGGCCCCTTTTTACAGACTATTGCTCACAATCTTAGGTATCCATATATCCAGATATTAGATAAGATTGTGCTCTCTCCCTCCTCCCTTCCCCCTGCCCTGCCCCATTTGCCTCTTTGCTGGGTAATCTTGACCGGACAAGACCCTTTCTCTTGGACTTAAAAAATACTCAGTTGCACTTTCCTTGGTCCCACCCATTATACATGAACCCTTCTACTTCCTTTTGCATTGCTTCTGAGTATGCTGACTACCCAAAGCCCCTTCTGTGTTCTTAATGAACACAGTACTGATTGTCCCATTTTTCAGCCCATCAGTCCAAGATCTCCCTACCACTTTGGTGTGTGCAGTGTTGACTATGAAAAGCAGGCCTGAACTAGGTGGATAAGCCTTCATTCATTTTCTTTCATTTATTAATGATCCCAGTTTCAATTATTGTCAGATTCTGGGGACAAGAACCATTCTTGCCCACCTCTGTTACTGCTTTACTGTGCAAAATACTCAAGGCAAGTCAGACCCAGGGAGCTGGTTTGCCATCCTTTATTTTGTGTTTCCAGTATACACTATCAAATTGTCTCGCAGGAAGGAAGGTTGGCACTTTCTCTGCATTCTTTCCAGAGCAGATTGTCTGATTAAGAATCTCTTGTTGTCCCCTTTGTATATTGTTATTGTAAAGTGCCAAATGCCAGGATACAGCCAGAAAAATTGCTGTTATTATTATTTAAAAAAAATTTTTTAAGAAAGACATCTGGATTGTAGACTGGACTCAGTAACCTGGTCATTATTTTTTTGAAGCCAAAAAATCCGTTTATACTATGTACCTCATGACCAGTGTCTCATTTTAACTGAGGGTGGTGGGTCTGTGGATAGAACACTGACTCTTGCTATTTTAATATTATCAAAGGCGTTCTAGAGTGGAACTCTTAAGACCAGTATCTTTGTGTGGGCTTTACCAGGATTCATTTTTAGAAAAACTACCTAAATTTTATAATCCTTAAATTTCTTCGTCTGGAGCACCTGCCCCTACTTATTTCAAGAAGATTGCAGTAAAACGATTAAATGAGGGAACATATGCAGAGGTGCTTTTAAAAAGCATATGCCACCTTTTTTATTAATTTGTCTATTATATAAAATGAAGCATTTAATTATACTGATAATTTGAAGTAGTTCGAAGTACCACACTGAGGTGAGGACTTAAAAATGATAAGACCAGTGTCCTATTTTATAAGAAAAATAAGCCAAAATTAAATATTCTTTTGGATATAAATTTCAACAGTGAGATAGCTGCCTAGTGGAAATGAATAATATCCCAGCCACTAGTGTACAGGGTGTTTTGTGGCAAAGGAGTATGTAACATGGAACTGCTCAAGCAAATAACTAGTCATCACAACAGCAGTTCTTTGTAATAACTGAAAAAGAATATTGTTTCTCTGAGAAGGATGTCAAAAGATCGGCCCAGCTCAGGGAGCAGTTTGCCCTACTAGCTCCTCGGACAGCTGTAAGAAGAGTCTCTGGCTCTTTAGAATACTGTAAGTACTACTTTGTAGCTATTAAGTAATCTTTTTCCTATTCTATTTTCTTCTCTTAGATGCCACCTATAGAAAAGTCAGAGGGTCCAGTAAGTTTCTTTCCTTCTTCCCACCTCATCTGCAATATATATATGTGTATATATATATAGATAGATAGATACATACATAAATACACATATGTGAGTTAACCAGCAGAACTGTAGAATTAATATTGTGGACCCAGCTCTATGCTAGGTTTCACTGATAACCTGGGTGGGAATGATATCATCCTATATAATTCCATTCCTGAGACGGTTTTATTGTTGAGGAGCTAATATAAGCACATTTGAAATAACTTTAGAAAATAATAATAAAGTGCTGTTTTGTGTGAATCATAAGTAGTAGTTTTAAGAAGGGAACCCACAAGGATTTGAAGTTGATAGAATAAACTTAAGGAAGTGGGTTTGCTTTTTCTCTTTAAGCCAAGATAGGATTAATATTGCAGCCATCTGGATAGTCCAGTTGGTTTATTTTAATTTCATTCATTTTTTACCTCTTTTGGAGCCATGGAAAGAGATGAAAGGGATAGGGCATAGCCATTGTGTTTGGCTTTTTGCCAAGGTTGGCAAATTAGTGATTGTTAAATCTCATAAGCTTGAGTATTTTAAAGTTCAGAGATTGATGGTATAAATCTAATACTTCGGCTCTTTCCACAATTTTACTACATTTCTGCCCAAGAACAGATGACCATGGATAATGCATATCATAAATACTTTTTTAGTTTGGAATCTTTTTGCCAAGAGCGTAGTGGAGAAGTGAAGTCAAAACCTTGACCTTCCTTGCCTACTTTATGCTGTAGTTTATATACCCTCTTTCCTCCCAGCTTTTGTAAAGCTAAAAGCAGCTTAGCCTCCTTAATGTTTTCCAGCTGAAAAAATATTGTTTAACGTAACATTTGAAACTTTTTTTCTGGTGCACATTCATGCATCGCAGGAGGAGCAATGAGAACCATATAAATGAACTGGCTTCACTTATAGCCCATTTTAATTCACATCCATATTTCCTCATGGCTTGTTTCCATGCCCCCCACCCCCACTCCAGATGCTTTAACAACATTGTTTGGCTGACTGGGGGTAATATACATCATGGTCTTGAGCCTTCTTGGAAACATGGTCTGTGCCATTGTTTCTCAAACTCAAGTAATGCTTCATGATGAAATACCTAAAGGAACAGAATTTTCTGAGACCCTAAAAAAATGTGTTTTGAGGAACACTGACTTAACAAAGGTATTTGAAATGGAAATATGTTATACAATTTCATGTTGTCTTTGTCAAAGATGTGTTTTATATAATTTATGTAGAACTTGGGGATCCATTAGAATATATCCACAAATCCCCAGGGTTATCACCCCAATTTGAGAAATACTGGTCTATGCTTATGAAATCTTGGGTTGCTAATTAAATTGTCATCCATTGTCGACATACAATTATAATTATTATTGGAATTTGTTTTAAAGGAATGAATTTAGAGGTGATTCTGTACCTTAACTCAAGAGGAAGGATGGCTTGCTTTTAGGTGGATTGATTCTGCTAGATAGCATCCAAAGGTGAATCTTGAAGCTGTATTTAAATTCATTGCCTAAAATAATTTGTACCCTTAAGAAAAATCTCTAGCAATTGTAAAAAGGGATGCTCTGGAAATGTGGGCATCTTCAAAATAGAGATAATTATTGTGTTAATTCAACAAATATTATTGTTCCAGGTGCTGGAATAAATAGCAAAACCAAAGACAGGATTTATATCAAGGAATTTGCTTTCTTATGGAGGATGCAGAAGGAAATCATTATGGTGTTGGGCAGAAACGCTTAGACTTTAGTCCTGGCTCTGACTTGGGTTCAAATCACCATCAGTCTGACCATCTCGAGACTGCTAGTGAAATAAGATAGGGGCTTAAATCAAATACCTAAATCCCTGACATTTTGTGATTTGGAAAATTTTCAAAAGTCTAATAAAAGAAACATTTTTTTGGCATTTCTCTAAATGATTATTGTTATTTCTTTTCTGACTTTTCCCTTTATAAAACCTTAACATGTAGGATTGGGGGAAGTTTACCATTTTCTCATATCCTCTTTCAGCTTTATCTTTCTGTAACTTCCATTTCTCTAGCCACCTCCCTAAATTACAGAAGACTATGAGACCCAGGGCTGCTATGATTAGGCATTCATAATTTCTTTTCAGGGTGTTTGTGCCCTAATTATCAAATGTACAGCTTGGAGGGAGTTCGTGTCTTAAAGTAATGAATTAAGAGTTGACTTTTGTTGACTGCTAAAATATTCTTACATGTGAAAACATCCTGGAGAAATGTGTTACCAGCTTAAAGAGAAACTAATGATTATATCTGAACTGAGCTAATGCCTCTTCTGTTCCCCCAAACCTTATAAGTTTGGATGGCAAAGAGTAATGATATGTCTGGTTAAACAGAGCTAATGCCTTCCTTTGCCTTGTCTTAAAGACTGGATTGGGAGAAAATTGATATTCTCACTACCATATGTTGGGGTATAGGCAAGTAGCATTTTACACAGCTTTCCTTCAAAATCCAACTGAAGTTGGAGCTCATGTATTTAAGACATAGCTGGCCTGCTGAATTTAACAAGTTAAACTTCAGTGGCCATGTACAGTTATATATCACTATGTATATGTGTATTAGACTGTTTAGTTGGATATGTTTTTGTTGGTGACTTGGGCTTTATTTGATAGTTCTTACTTGACCTTTCCAAATTGACTACTGATACATGGAACTTGGGCTCCTTTTGCATCTTATACAAATGAGTTTGGTAAAGAAGCCTCTCCTTTACTGTTTTGATGTTTGTATTGGAAATAACTTTTGATTTTTTTTTCATGTTAGGATGAGAGACTGAAACAAAATATAAATTTGACCAGTGCTAGACTTCTTAAATTATGGGTAGACTTAAAGTATTATTTTCCTTAACCAGTTAAAATGCTATTCTTCTAGTGTCCCCGGAAACATGAGAGGTTATGCAGTAGACCCAAGTAATACCCTCTTATTACATAATCTAATCAAGTGTATATAAGAATTTAAAAATAGGGATGTGACTGGAACATCACTGTACTTTACCAGGTCCCATTATAAAATTATCTATGTTACTTTACCCATAGCTTTGAAAACTATTTGCACATACTATAAAACTATTTTATAGTATGCTGTTAGTGTGATTGGCATTGAACAGTGATGGGATATAATCACTCTACAATCTATATATCATTAAAGTTTTCCAGCCTTACAGATCTCCCTTGACTGAAAATTAGCTACTAACTCACTGACTTACTTTTTACAGCAGATTGACTAGGTCTTTCCGGGAAATCTGTTGATGTACAAAAACAAAGTTTAATTGCTAATGTTTTTTAAAAAATAACTTTTTGATATTATGGATACCTGGTTATTTGGGCCTTGTATATTTTAACATCAAAATTACCTATTATAAATCTATATAAACAGAAAAGAAAGAGAGTAAGTCTTTAGGTCAGATCTACAAACAATGATGGTACCTACTGTAGCAAAATCTGGAACATAGACTTACCAGTTCTCAGGTTCCGTTTTGCTTGCTTTTTAAAAACTATCTTATAAGTCTTCAGCATCTGATTGGGAGATTTTTTAGAAAAAAATACCCTTTTAATGTTAGAACAGTGTAGAGATTTACAGAATGATTCTGAAGATAGAGCTTTTGTGTACTTCACACCCTGTTTTTCCCAATGTTAACATTTTAAACTAGTTTGATACATTTATCACAACAAATCAATATTGATACATTATTATTAACTAAAGTCCATATTTTATTCAGATTTCCTTAGTTTTTCCTTAATGTTCTTTTTGTGTTCCAGGATTCCACTGAAGATACCATGCTGCATGTGTCCTTAGTAGTCGTGTCTCCTTAGGCTCCTCTTGGTAATGACAGTTTCTCAGACTCTTTGTGTTTGATGAACTTCACAGTTTTGAGGACTAATGGTCCAGTATTCTATAGAATGTCTCTCTATTGGAATTTGTCGATGTTCTTCTCATGACTAGATTGGGTTTATGAGTGTTTAGGAGGAAGACCACAAAGGTAGAGTGCCATTCTTATCATTTATCAAGAGTACATACTATCAACATGACTTATAACTGTTTATGTTATCCTTAATCACCTGTCTGAGGTACTATTAGGTTTCTCCAGCATAAAATTAGTCTTTATTTCTCCATTTCCATACTGTACTGTTCACATAGAAAGTCACTATGTGCAGCTGGCACTAAGGAATGGGAAATTATCTTCCACTTTGTTGAGGGCAGAGTATTTACATAAATTATTTGGAATTCTTTTGCATGGGATGTCTTTTCTCCACAATGTACTGTGTTTATTCAGTCGCTTATATTAGTATGATCTCAGGGATATTTTATACTTTGGGTTATAATACAGTATTATTTTATTCTGTTGTTCAAATTGTTCCAGCTTTGGCCATTGGGAGTTCCTTCAGTTGGCTTTGATGTAACCCATGAATGTGGGTTTTTTGTTTGAGCACTTTCTTATTTTTGGCACGACAAGATGCTTCAGGCTCATTTGCATATCTCCTGCCTTGACCTAGAATGATATATTTCTCCAAGGAGCCTTGATACTTTTTATTGGAGAGTAATATTAGAAATCAAGAAGTGAGTGCTAGGTGCGCTCATTGCTACTGGAGTGTCATTCCTTCAAGACCTTTTCAGTTGACAAGAGCAAGGAGATACATGTTTGCATTCTAACTTGTGTATATGCACATATTATAAATATATATAACCATCTGTATCTATATTAAACTAAATGTGTTTATACCTACATCTCCAACTCTAATCATTGCTACATGGATCATTATAGTCTCACCTCCTTGCTTATCTGTTACCTCCCCTTTCTACAGTGAGAAACCTGGCTTGGTTGGGAAATTTTTCTGTTAATATTAGGGTAGTGAGTATTTGACATTTGCTTCTATGGTTAAGTTTAGGGAGAGTTTAGCTGTAGGGTATTCTTGAAACTAGAAATGACCTTTTTGCCCTAAATGTTTCTGCCAATTTTGAAACGTAAAATAGGTTGCAGAAACAAACTTTTATCTTAAGAACCAGAATTTACTTCAATCCACGTTTTGACATTGATTTTCAGATTAAATTATTCTGATATCGCCAGGTAAGCTGTTCCTTGGGTATGCATTTCTGCATTTCTTCTTTCAGTTTTTTTCTAAGAGCTAAAGAACCCTGAGAACATTGGAGGTGAGAAAGGAGGGGAAAGGCATGTTCACATGTGGATAGGAAAGGTTCATTTACTGACCTCCAGCTAGCCTTCCAAAGTGCATATTTAAGACCCAAGGAGTAGATGTCTTCCTTGGCAATTGTAACCCAAATGTAATTTTTAACCTTTCAGTTTTAGTCAAGAAAGTTGGTGTGCTGTTACAAAAACTGCCCTGATCAACAGCATTGCTATGTGCCTTGCATATCAATCAGCAATTTAAAATAACACGAAATTGTGTTGAGTATAATTTTAATATTTTATATTAGATATTAGTTTGAGACAGTGTTTCTCAAGTCTGTATAATAAGTTTGATAGTACGAAGGTTTTCTCTCAAGAAAAGAATTATTCAGTGTGCACCTACATAATCCACCGCTTAGATTCTACAATTAATATTTTGCTATATTTGATTAAACTTTTTCTGTAGAAGAAAAATATTATTATGTACTCTTTAGGTTTATGGGAATAATTGTTAAGTTAAAGTGTATGAACAAACCTGGGATGAAATCTGTTTGTCTACATCTATAATACAACTATAAGACATAGCAGATGTACAAATTAGTAGTTAATAGATAACTAAAATGCAAATATGGTACTACTATTATAGTATTATAGTTTCTTTTGAGTGGTGTGTCTGTACTATCACATGCTGTGTTGATGCACTTCACCAAACTGCTGTTTTCAAACCGCTTTAAATCCTGCTGTTATAGCACATAGCAATGCTATTTGGCTTTCATTTGGCACAAAACACATTTATATATTGTTTGCTTCTGTTCTTTTCTATTATCCCCAGGCAACAAAACTAGAACATTTGCCACTAATTTGGCAATGTGGTCTTATATTATGAGGTAGTCATATAGCTGATCTAGACTATCCTTACAGTGAAATGAGAGTATTGTAAAAGTTTTGTAGAAAGCTCCCATACATCCTGAGAATCCATGCACAAACCCCAGAGTTAAAAGATCTTTGAATTGAGGGAAGACATGGGTTTAAGTATCACTTGGCCACCTGTTATTTGTGTAACATTGAGGTAGTTTCATCTTCTGAGTTCCCAGTTTCCTTAGAGAATGAAAATGTTGAATTATGTTAATTAAAAAAAAATTTTTTTTTTGAGATGGAGTTTCGCTCTTTTGCCCAGGCTGGAGTAAAGTGGCACAATCTCGACTCACTGCAACCTCCTTTACCCAGGATCAAGCAATTCTCCTGCCTCAGCCTCCCAAGTAGCTGCGATTACAGGCGCCCGCCACCATGCCCAGCTAATGTTTGTATTTTTGGTAGAGATGAGGTTTCCCCGTGTTGGCCAGGCTGGTCTCGAACTTCTGACCTCAAATGATCCACTCGCCTTGGCCTCCCAAAGTGCTAGGATTATAGGCATGAGCCACTGCACCAGGCGTATGTGATTATTAATATCACTTCTATCTGTGACAATTCTGTCTGATACTGGAGTACTTGAACCAGATGGCTGCCTATGCCACTTGGCTATTCTCTCCATAATACTTCGATATTTCGTTGGTCTGCAATATGACAGATTCTCAAAATTCTTGTCCATGAATATTGAACCCTAGTGAAATGTATGGTTCTGTATCAGTTCCAAAATGTAACTACTTTCTGTAGCCTTAGATTCCCAGTTCCAAAATGTAACCATTTTCTCTAGCCTTAGATTCCCATTAAGGGAAAGGGAATGCTCCTTGAGTATGTCATCACCATAGTGACAGGCAAAACTAGAGGGCTTTGATGCTAAAGCAAGATACTCCATAAATATGGTTAAGAAGACTTGGGGAGACTGGAATAGTTGTTTCCTTTTAGATGCCAGTGTATAAATGAATTTGAGCTAGGATCCATTGATTTAAAATTTCTTTAGGTCAATTTGCTTGCACATGGAGTGCACATTTACTCTTCGTTAATGGAGTTTCAGGAAGCAGTAGAGTAAATGCACAAACATGTATGAACCTCCATGTTTGACTGGAAGCCTGCATTTGGAAGTGAAGTATCTAATCTTAGATTAAATTAGGATGGGGAAGGGTGTTGGCAAGAGATTTTGAAGCTTGTTCTGCTCATATTGAGAACATCATAGAACAGTTTGGCCTTTTTAAAGCTAGAGAATAGAGTTGAATAAGGGATCTTCCCTACATTCCTGTTTGACATTGACATAAAGGTTTTGTCATGATACAATAATCCCTAATCAGGAATCTGGAAGCCTGTATTCATTTAAGGTCCTCGGGTTTAACATACTGGGTGCTTCTCACACCATACCATACCATGCAAAATGCTTTCAAGGCTGCAAGTTTGGCTTAGATCCGCTTTAGTGAGCTCCTGTGCTACAGTAAATGTAGATAGCCAATTATTAAAAACAATCAAGACAATTGCACCTCTAAGCAGTAGTAGCAATTGCCACACTACCTTGAATCTTGAAGTATTTTCAGCAACAGGATGACCATTAGCCACAAATTTAGCGTCAGCCCTTAAGGTCGGTATTAGTTTGACCCATATTTTCATGTAGTTCTTTTTCTTGTCTAATCCTCCCATGATACCGCCAGGGCTTGTTATTAGAGGACTTTAGGGAAACCAAACAGGCTAGAAAGTAGAGACAGGAAATGCCTATGTCTAATGCTTCAGTTTATACTTCCTAGGTTTTTTTCGTTGGGGTTTTTGTAACTCTTTTGGTATCCTACCGGTGCTTTGGTAGCCTACTGAACCCTGTCTTTCTTCTCAAGGACATTCCGAGCATGTGAGACCCGAGGACTGCAAACAGCTGCAAGAGGCTTCAAATTCAGCATATCATTCCTTTTGAGAATCTGGCCAAGCTCCAGCAAATCTACTTGGATGGGTTGCCAGCCACCTGGAGAAAAAGGTAGTTCGGGGAATTTATTGTTGTAGGGCTTCTGTCTTTGGCTTTAACTTCCTATAACTCTCCTTTTTAAAGCAGAACACAGCTGGGCACTGTGGCTCTTCACTGCAACTTCCGTCTCCCGGGTTCAAGCTATTCTCCTGCCTCAACCTCCCGAGTAGCTGGGATTACAGGCATGCGTGACCATGCCAGGCTAATTTTGTATTTTTAGTAGAGACAGGGTTTCTCCGTGTTGGTCAGGCTGGTCTCGAACTCCCGACCTCAGGTGATTCACCCGCCTCGACCTCCCAAAGTGCTGGAATTACAGGCGTGAGCCACTGCGCCTGACCAGCTGTTGTTATAACTGGAGTTCTGTATGTTTGTGACCATTCTTGGTTCTCTGAATATCCTAGAACTTTGGTGGCTCCCTATTACACAGGTTGTTGAAGAAATGTTACCATGTGGATTGAGTAGAAAACAGTTCTCTTTATCTTGGCAATATTATGGCATGGCACTACTTAAAGTACAAATTAAAAGAGGGGAATGCTACAAAACTAGCTGACAGGCACTTTGATTGAGGTGGATTGCTCAGTTCTTAAAATAGCGCTTTATAAAAGAAGCCAGAAGCATTGTGGAGGAGAATTCTTACAGAATTCGTAGAGTTAGACCACATTGGACCTTTTCTGTGTGACTTCATGGCTCTCTTGGTTGAGAAAGCATTAGCTTCTCCTTCCATTAGTTTCAACCTCTTGATTTCTTGATCCCTCTACTATATTTTGTGCTGAGAACACAAGGGCATTAACAACCCACATTCTAGAGGATTGCTCTTTAATAAAGACTGGAGAATAAAATGCAGCATGGGGATATTGGCAATTATTCAGTTCTAAATTTCTCTTGGAAATGAGGGAAAACATACAGAATAGAGCTGGGACAAATAGGACAATTTTTTTTTTGTTAGGTTGGTAGCCAGAATATAATAGCTCCGCACAACTGTAAATGTCCACTCTTCAATCCACATGAAGAAAAGGGTAAACATGGTTGAACTCAACCACTAGTTGCCCATTAGGAGAGACTTTCCTGGTGTACTCCATTTCAATACTTTTCTTTTATCTCTTTTTCAGATCTTCCTCAGAAGAATAGGCTTGTTGCTTTACAGTGTTAGTGATCCATTCCCTTTGACGATCCCTAGGTGGAGATGGGGCATGAGGATCCTCCAGGGGAAAAGCTCACTACCACTGGGCAACAACCCTAGGTCAGGAGGTTCTGTCAGGATACTTTCCTGGTCCCAGATAGGAAGATAAAGTCTCAAAAACAACCACCACACGTCAAGGTGCGTAAGCTGTCCCTAAAAGCATAATAAGTAGTTATTTTGATTTTGTTTTCCAGTATACATTGCACTTAGCGTTTCACTGAGGTCGTATTCATCATTATTCTGCATATGATTTGGTAAAGACAGCTTCCTAATTTACCTGGGAAGCAAGTGGGTGTGAGATTGGTTAAATTGATGATGTAAAGAGGGTAGCAGGTTGCATGTGTTCGGGTGTTTAGAGTGGGACTATAACGTGTGGCAGAGGCTTACAGCTAAATTGTTCTTTCTTTTAGGAGAACATGGACAACTGTCACATCAGTGACACTGATCACATGGGCAAATCATTCTGTTCCATCTGGTCCCCAAAGTCTCTCTTAAAGCCTTACAGAAGAACTTTGCCAATCATTTACATACTTCGGGATGGCTTGGGATGCCATGGGATATAATACGACAAGTGAGAGGTGTGTCTTTTTATGCTATGGTTGCTGATTGATGGAAGCTGCATAAATACAAATGGACTAAAAATGGCACAAAGTTATCTGTCATCAGGCAGGAGCTAAAGAACCAGGACCCTATATTCTCTAGGTCAGTGTTGGGAGAGGCTGATTAGCGAGTGAGGATTGGCAGATAAAGGTGACCATTCAGTGCAATAAATCCTGATCGTATAGGCTTTGCCCAGCATTCTTCATAAATAGTGGGTACCTATAAATTTCATGAAATATTTTCATGGGTAAGAACTCTCAAAATGTTATAATTGACTGGAAAGCTCTGTAGATTTAGAAATAGAGAAAGTTACTAACAGAAATTTTTAGAAAGCCTAGGAACTAGAAAGCTAAGTTGAGAGTTATCTAGGAAGATCTATCTATTGTACTCAGAATCTTTAGATAAATTCTCCTAGGGCCAGTAGCCTATGTAAATTTTCTTTTTCTTTTTTTTTGTTTTTTGGTTTTTTTTTTGGTATTTTAGCTGCAATGTTAAACAACCTATGTGAATTTTCTTATTGTGAGAATATTTGCCTTCCAGAGTGACTCACCTTTATCTCAAAGAGCAGTATTACGAGTTTTGGAAATGCTGCTCGGTGGCTGTATTTTGTTAGTCCTGAGCCAGGAGACGTAAATAAAGCAAACTTGAGTTGGTCCTAAAACATTGAAGTGAACCTTAAACATTGGAAATACCTTATGTTTTTTCCTCTCATATCTATTATTTTTGTGATCTCAGTTACTAATCATTTAAAGGGACTCCTAGCTGATTGGCACTTAAAACAGGATCGTAGTTTTTTTTTTTGAGGTGGAGTTTTGCTCTTGTTGCCCAGCCTGGAGTGCAGTGGTGCAATCTCAGCTCACTGCAACCTCTGCCTCCCGGGTTCAAGCGATTCTCCTGCCTCAGCCTCCTAAGTAGCTGGGATTACAGGCATGCGCCACCACACTGGGCTAATTTTGTATTTTTAGTAGAGACAGTGTTTCTCCGTGTTGGTCAGGCTGGTCTCAAACTCCTGACCTCAGGTGATCTGCCCACCTCAACCTCCCAAAGTGCTGGGATTATAGGCGTGAGCCACCGCGCCCGGCAGTTCTAGTCTTCAAGGTATAAGGCTATGACTGGTGGTGGTGTCTCTAGTGACTCATCAAGTGATATTTGGCAAGACATTTTCCCATTTATTCCAGTTTCCTGTTCTGTTGAATGAGGAAATTTTCTCTCTAAAGACCTTAAAGTTTTGACTTTGTAGGTTTCAAAGTTCTGTGGAAACGTTTTCTGTTGCTTATTAATTTCAATCTTACATAACTCTAGCACAGTACTCAATACTTACGGCATTTACATGGTTTATCTCATGTGTTTTTATAGCTCTTCATTGTTCCTATCTGCCAAATAATTACACTTCCTACAAGCAGTGCAGAGAACTGAGTCTTCAGCAGGTCCAAGAAATTTGAACACATTGAAGGAGGTCAGCCTTCCTACCTGAAGATCAACATACTTGGCACTCTAGCACTTTAGGATAGCCGAATGAAGTAAGTTGTTGGTGTTGCGGTCCTGTGAGGATCACTTCAGAACTATTAATAACAGCTGTTTTTTGGGAGCTGGTGTTGGATGTGGTATGTTGGTCTAATGTGAAGTGGGGCTAAATGTGAGATGGAAAGATGACCTGTCTTCCATATTACTAAGTTCACTGAAGCAACTCAAAGACATTATGGTCTTCTTACCAGTTGTATCATAGAAGAATCTAGCCTTTGCTTGTGTGTTCTGTGTCTTCACTGTATACGTCCTCTGTCATTCTTAGAGCCTTAAACATTGAGAAGCTTAAAACACCATTTCTGCTTTCTGCTGAAAGGGTAACCCTTTCTCATCTCCATTTGTGAGAGACTCTGTCGTCAGTTAAGATTAGTGTAAAAAGAAGACTAAACTCTGAAGTAGCCATTATAAAAGTGTGAGAATGAAGTCAGTTTTCCAAAGAGTTGGGGAAAGGTGATGCTAAAGGAGGGGATTGAGCAAGTCCTATCAAAGAGCCCTTTATGAAAATATTTAGTCATCTGTGACATCCCATTTGGCTCTTCCAGAAATCCTAGTGAATAGTTGTAACAGAATGTTAAGAGGCACACATTGTGTGTTTTAAATCCTCTGCTACTCATTAGGTATATGACCTTTGGCAACTTAAAGTCTCTGATTAGACTTGCCTGTTTGTGAGGGTTAAATGAAATCATGTATGTAAAGTGCTCACCTATTGCAGTGCCTGGCACATGGCAAGTAAAAGGTAAGCCAAGAAGACTTATAAGTTCATTTCCCACAATATAAGTGACCACTAGCACTATCAGGTAGCAGGCAGAGTTGGCATGCTTTGGTTCTATATAAGAAATCCCTAAGGTAAAAGTTTGTAAATAGAAGAGCATCTGTGTTGGTGGTGGTGGTGGTTATAATTATTATTATTGTAGTAGTATAAATAGTATTGGTAGTAACAATAGTTTAATATAATTACTAATGACACTTTTTGATTTTTTTTTTATCTTTCTGTGATGCTTTTCATGCCTCTTGTGCCCCTCATTGTATCTTGTCTCTTCTGCTACTTTCTCTGAATGTCTGCCTTTGCTTATCTCTTGCACTCAAGTGTGTATTTCTTTGTCTCTTTCTTCCTTGTCTTTGCTCTTTGTTCTCTATCTAAAGTGTGTCTTACCCATTTCCATCTTTCTCTTGCTACTTTCTTTCGTGTGCGCCTTTGCCTCATTTTCTCTTTTTGTTCACAAGACTGGTCTGTGCCTTGTCTTAGACGTATCTCTCATTTTTCCTTTTGTTGCTGTTTCTCTTTGCTCTCCTAGATGTGGCTCTTCTTTCACGCTTTATTTCATGTCTCCTTTTTGGGTCACATGTGTGTGCTTTTTGTCCTTCTGTTGTTCTGTCTACTTCTCCTTTCTCTGCCTACCTCTCTTTTCTCTTTGTGAACTGTGATTATTTGTTACCCCTTCCCCTTCTTGTTCGTTTTAAATTTCACCTTTTTTCTGAGTCTGGCCTCCTTTCTGCTGTTTCTACTTTTTATCTCACATTTCTCATTTCTACATTTCCTTTCTGCCTCTCTTGGGCTATTTTCTCTCTTTTTCCTCCCCTGTGTGCCTCAGCATCTCTTGCTGTTTGTGATTTTCTATTTCAGTATTAATCTCTGTTGGCTTGTGTTTCTTCTCTGCTTCTTCCCTTTCTACTCACCTTTGAGTATTTCAGCCTCTTCATGAATCTATCTCCCTCTCTTTTATTTCATGTAATCTTCTCTCCTTAAATATTTCTTTGCATATGTGGGCATGTGTACGTGTGTGTGTGTCACGTGTGGCAGAGGGGCTTCTTAACCTCTGCCTGATAGGTGCAGAACGTCGGCTATCAGAATGAGCATTGTGGAGCGGTTCCTTATGCCAGGCTGCCACGTGAGATGATCCAAGACCAAAACAAGGCCCTAGAGTCTAGACTGCAGTAAAACCCAATACTCAAGTAGGACAGAAGGTGGAAGGCTCATATGGATAAAAGGCCCAAAGTAGAAGACAGATGGTTTGAGACTTGAGACCCGAGGACTAAGATGGAAAGCCCATGTTCCAAGATAGATAGAAGCCTCAGGCCTGAAACGAACAAAAGCCTCTAGAGCCAAGAAAACAGAGGGTGGTCTGAATTGGACAGAAGGCCTGAGTTGGATGGAAGTCTCAAGTCTTGAGTTCGAAGTCTTAAGACCTGGGACAGGACACATGGAAGGCCTAAGAACTGAGACTTGTGACACAAGGCCAAAGACCTAAGATTAGCCCGAGGTTGTAGTTGGAAGACCTACAACCCAAGGATGGAAGGCCTCTGTCACAAAGCCTACCTATATGGATAGAGGACCCAAGTGAAACAGAGATCTCAAGACTAAAGGCTGGAATCTGGAGGTCCATGACCTAGAACCCAGGAAGGATGGAAGCTTGAAGACCTGGGGAAATCCCAAGATGAGAACCCTAAACCCCACCTCTTTTCTATTGTTTACACTTCTTACTCTTATATATTTCCAGTTCTCCTGTTTCTCTTTAAGCCTGATTCTTTTGAGATGTACTTTTTGATGTTGCCAGTTACCTTAAAGGAACATATCTTTAGATTGACAGTATTATGCCTGGGCCAGTCTTGAGCCAGCTTTAAATCACAGCTTTTACCTATTTGTTAGGCTTTAGTGTTTTGTAAACTTCTGTTTCTATTCACATCTACTCCACTTGAGAGAGACACCAGAATCCAGTCAGTATCTAATCTGGATTTTGTTATTCCCCTCAGGAGCAAACATTCATATAGGTGATACTGTATTTCAGTCCTCTCTTTTAACCCCAGAATCCCTAGACTGAGAAGATAAAATGGTCAGGTTGTTGGGGGAAAAAAAGTGCCAGGCCCTCTAGAGAAAAATGTGAAGAGATGCTGCAGGCCAGTGAGAAGAATTAGACAAGAAATACACAGATGTGCCAGACTTCTGAGAAGCACCTGCCAGCAACAGCTTCATTCTTTGAGCTTAGGTGAGCAGGATTCTGGGGTTTGGGATTTCTAGTGATGGTTATGGAAAGGGTGACAGGGCCTGGGACAAAGTGAGTTCCCAAGGGGACAGCCTGAACTCCCTGCTCATAGTAGTGGCCAAATAATTTGGTGGACTGTGCCAACCCTACTCCTGGGTTTAATACCCATCTCTAGGCTTAAAGACGAGAGAACCTGGGACTATTGAGCACATTTAATACTTTCCTTGATTTTTTTCCTTCCTGTTTATGTGGGAAGTTGATTTAAATGATTGATAATGTATATGAAAGCACTGTAAAACGTAAGAGAAAAACCAAGGCGTGCTCCTTAATAGTGCATTGGCAATCATGCATAGTAAACATTTGAAAGTGCATTGTAAATTGTGAAGCATTATGTAAATCGGGGTCCACAGTTTTTCTGTAAGGGGTCAAAATCATAAATACTTTAGACTGTGGGCCATACGGTTTCTGTTACATATTTGTTTTTTAAACAACCTTTTTATAAGGTCAAAATCATAGTTTTTGAGCCAATTGGATTTGGCCTGCTGTTCATAGCTTACCACCCCCTGATGTATTATTCGTTATTCAGAGAAAATGTCTGAATACTACTAATTTCCTTTTCTGTGCCTGTCCCTGTGCTAGGCACTCAAAATGCAACGATGATTCACATGTAGGTGACCTGAAGAAAAATAGTGAATGTGCTTTGTAAACTATAAAGCACTTGTATTCTACTGTGATAAACATTGTGGATACAAAGAAAGGAGCAAGCATAAAAAAGTGCTCTTTCAAAAGGATATAGTACTATGCAGACACAAAGAATTGTTTGATAAATGAATAAATTATATGTGTATTTGAGGCCAATTTGTGTTTGCTGCTCTGGTAATTTTGAGTAAAAATGCAGTATTCCAGGTATCAGAAACGAAAACACATGGAAACTGCTTTTAAACTTTAAAGTATACTGAATACATAAGGGACTCAGCTTATTGTGGTCACTTATAATGTACCAGATACCATGCTGGGCACTAGAACTACCAAAGGGGAAAGAAATACTCTCATAGAACAAAAAATTTCAGAAAGGTGCATATTAAAGTGCTTTGTAAACTAAAGCACAATACAAATGTCAATGGGCTACATATTTATGAATGAATGAATGAATGAATGAATGAAATTAACTGCCTCTTACATACCAGCTATTGTTTTGGGTACTGTGAAATACAAGATTAATTCTCCTATAATAAGAGGAAAGTTTATCCTCTAGACTATTCAGATGTAAGGAATGAGATATTGCTTAATTTTAAACAATCAAGACTTTACTGGTGACGTTAAGTTAAATTACTACCGGTACATTTTCCTGGGTAACCGGGAAGGAGATAGTATAGGAAATGAAGTAATGGAAGTGAGGTCCAGATCAAAAGTCACTTAATTAAGTTTGCGAATGTGCTTTCTAAATTATAAAGCACTTGTAAATGTGAAAAATTTGATGCTTTCTATATGAATAAAACTTTCTGTAAGATAGGTACTGTCTCTACAAAATTCTCATTGTATACTTAAACCACAATGAGAAGGGTTCTATACGTAGTTATACAAACCAAGGGTTTAAATACCTGTTAAATGGATCAATTTTGATTGCCTACTATGTGAACTCATTGTTAAAGGCACTGAAAATTTATCATATTTCATTTACCCACAGCCAAAAATAAGGCAATACCTATGTTAGCATTTTGTGAACTCTAAGGCACCATATAAATGTAACTGTTGATTTTCTTACTTGGTGCTGAGAACTAGGTTTATACAATTGTATGATAGTTATTATATTGTGCAAATGAAGTAGGAAAATTTGAGTAACAATGATTAACTTTTGAATACGCATATGCAAGGGATTGGTTGTCTGAAGAATGCCACTATAGTAGTTATCTATTGTGTGCCAATCTCATTGCTAGGCATTGGGGATGCAAAGATAAACCATCTTTATTGTGTCCTGGGTAGCAGAAGAAAATATGTGTAAAATCAATTTATAATTTCTAAACTGCCACCCATATATAAGCAGTATCTGCTGAATGATCATTGATTACTCATATCCTTAGAGATAACAACTGGGGGCACAAATATTTATTATCATTATTGAACCTACAACAGAGACCTTTGTGTAGATTTACAAAGCCTACAGTTCTATACAAATAGGAATGAACTATTGGCTTACTGAATGGTGATTACGTTCTGATTTACCAAGCCTACAGTTCTATACAGATAGGAATGAACTATTGGCTTACTGAATGGTGATTACTTTCTGTGGGGCTCGGAACTACATGCCCTAGGATATAAAAAAATGATGTCATCATTATAGAGTGCTCACAGAAGGAAATGAAGTAAAAGGTGTGAGATCCAGACCGAAAGTCACTTAACAAGTTTATTCAATGATGAAAACATGGGACAAATGGACTAGTATAAGGCAGTGTACTAAGCTAAGTAGAGAGAGAAAGTCCTGTCCAGAAGATATGTGCTCCCTGGCCTGATTGAAGAGACGGAAAATTTTTGCAAAAAACAAGGTGTTGTGGTCTTCCATACAGTTTCTTAAGTGCTGATGATAGACGTGAATTAGACCCACCTTGGTCTGGCTTACAGACAGTAAAGGAGTAAATAAATACAGACAGTAAATAAATACCTCAGGTTTACAGACAGTAAATTTACAGACAGTAAATAAATGCCTCAGGTTTGCTTTTTGATTCATTTGATAAACAAAGCATCTTTTATGTGGAATGTACCATTCTGGGTCCTGAGGATGAGAGAGGTGAGGGCATTAGACCATTGACAGCTGAAGATAGAAGAACATCTTTAGTTTGATTGTGTAAATAATATTTCAGTGCCTATTCTCTGCAAGGTACTATGCTTGGTAAATTAGTAAATTAAATAGGTCTGGTCCAGAAGACACACTCAATTGCCTTTGAGATTTAAAAATAAAGAAAAAAGAAAGAAAAAGGCAAGTTTCTTTCAAAATAGAGACATTTTTCCTAGTTTCAGGAATCCCCCAAATCACTTGCTCATTGGCTTAGTTTGAAGCCAGGAGACTGATAAAAGGGCTCAGGGTTTGTTCTTTAATTTATTAAGCAAACATTCTGCTTTTATTACAGTTACATGGTTCAAGATGAAACAACTAGTTTTAAAGGTATTTGCTCATTGGTCTGGCTTAGAGACAGGAAGACATTTGAGCAATACAAAAAATTCTTTCCCATTTACCATATTTAGTAAAAATTTATTAAAACTGAATAAAGTGCTGTTCTTAAGTGCTTGAAAGACCTAAACCAAAGTGCACTTTATCTCATTTATCTTGTGGTGGAAACACAGGAACACATTCTCTAAGAGACTGTGTTTCTTTAGTTGAGAGGAAACTTCATTGAGTAGCTGTGATATGTTCGATACTAAGGAAAAACTAAATAGATCACCTTTGACATGCTCTGTCGAGTGGGAAGAGAGGGCTTTTTATTTTTTCATTCATATGAATATTGATGAAGATGATACTAAATGCTAAATGAAATATATCTGCTCCAAAAGTCATTTATTTTGACTTGGAGATGCAACAAAAACACAATAAATGGAATGAAGTGATACTCTTCATCAAACAGAAGTGACTGTTATATCAACCATTGTGTTAAATCCTAGACAGAAAACAAAAAAGATCATGACTAAAAGACACTTGCTTATTAATTGGCTTGGAAAGTAGAATATAGGAGAAAGGTTACGGTTTTTTTTTTTTTTTTCATGTATTCATTCATTCTACAAATATATTTGGGTGCCAATAGGTACTTGGTATAAGGTTTTTGGCCCCAGAGACATGGGAAAAAAAATGCATGCCTTCCCAGAGAATGCCTAATACTTTCCTTTTGGCTTGTTTTCTTGTTAGGGGCATGGCTTAGTCCCTAAATAACATTGTGTGGTTTACTTCCTACTCCATATCTCTTCTACCACTCTGGCCACTACAATAAGCAGGTAGCTGGGTTTTGTAGTGAGCTTGCTCCTTTAAGTTGCAGGAACTCTCCTTATAATAGACACTTCATTTTCCTAGCCCATCCCTCATGAAAAATGACTGACCACTGCTGGGCAGCAGGAGGGATGATGACTAATTCCCAAATCCCAGTCTCATTGGTACCAGCCTTGGGGAACCACCCATACTTGAGCCACAATTGGTTTTGAAGTGCATTTACAAGATTTGTCTATTTTCAGTTATTTACTTTTTACGTGCTGACACATACATACACTGCCTAAATAGATCTCTTTCAGAAACAATCCTCAGCTAACGCATAGCAAAATGGAGATGGAGACATGATTTCTCATGCAACAGCTTCTCAGTTTATACCTTAGAAATGTCCTCCTTTTTATCAAATCTACTCAAGAGGGGCTTTTTATAGTAGAACAATATCAGTGGATGAAAACAGCTTAACATTTTACCTTGCTTAAGTTTTAAGAATAAAATAAAAATTGGAAACAATTGGCCAAAATTGAAAGGAAATTTTTTTTTTTTTTTAAATTTCTCTAAATGTAGGCCTGGCTGGGCTTTGACCTTTTCCATTTTAAATCACTCACAGAGGGTGGGACAGGAGGAAGAGTGAAGGAAAAGGTCAAACCTGTTTTAAGGGCAGCCTGCCTTTGTTCTGAATTGGCCTTAAGAACATTACCAGCTTCAGGTCTAAAGTGTTTAGTTTCATGCAGTTCCAATAACTGATCATTGTTGAGATGAGGACAAAATCCTTTGTCCTCACTAGTTTGCTTTATATTTTTGAAAAGTAATTATTTTTGTCCAAGTGCTTATCAACTAAACCTTGTGTTAGGTAAGAATGGAATTTATTAAGTGAATCAGTGTGACCCCTCTTGTCATAAGATTATCTTAAAGCTGAAGCCAAAATATGCTTCAAAAGAAGAGGACTTTATTGTTCATTGTAGTTCATACATACTTTCAAAGCATCTAAACTGTAGTTTCCATGGCAAGTCAATTACATCCATAAGTGGAGAAGGAAATAGATAAATGTCAAAGTATGATTGGTTGAGGGAGCAAGGTTGAAGATAATCTGGGGTTGAAATTTTCTAGCTTTCATTCTGTACATTTTTAGTTAGACATCAGATTTGAAATATTAATGTTTGTCTTTTAATGTGTGGTATCAGCTGGACTCAGTAACACCCCTTTCTTCAGGTGGGGATGGGGAATGCATTATTGGAAAATGGAAAGAAGAAAGTAACTAAAAGCCTTCCTTTCACAGTTTCTGGCATCACTACCACTACTGATTAAACAAGAATAAGAGAACATTTTATCATCATCTGCTTTATTCACATAAATGAACTGATGAATAAATCTGCTTTTATGCAGACACAAGGAATTAAGTGGCTTCGTCATTGCCCTTCTACCTCAAAGAGAGTTTATCCCAAAATGCTAAGATAAATGGAAGACTCTTGAACTTGTGAACTGATGTGAAATGCAGAATCTCTTTTGAGTCTTTGCTGTTTTGAAGATTGAAAAATATTGTTCAGCATGGGTGACCACCAAAAAGTAATCTTAAGCCATCTAGATGTCACAATTGAAACAAACTGGGGAGTTGGGTTGCTATTGTAAAATAAAATATACTGCTTTGAAAACTTTGTATTTTGATATGACAATTTCTAACTCACTGTCCCTAACCACACTAATTACCCTAAGTTCTTCATTTCTTTTTTCTTTCTTTTTTTTTTTTTGAAGATGGAGTCTCGCTTTGTTGCCCAGGCTGGAGTGCAGTGGTGCCATCTTGGCACACTGTAACCTCTGCCTCCTGGGTTCAAGCAGTTCTGCCTCAGCCTCACCAGTAGCTGGGATTACAGTTCTGAGCCACTATGCCTGGTTAATTGTTGTGTTTTTAGTAGAGACGGGGTTTCGCCATCTTGGCCAGGCTGGTCACGAATTCCTGACTTCAAGTGATCCATCTGCCTCGGCCTCCCAAAGTTCTGGGATTACAGGTGGAAGCCACCGTGCCCAGCCTCATTTCTTTCTTTTTTAAAACTACCTTAACCACCCAGTGCGGGTAAATGATTTGAAGTCTCATTTCTTACAGCGTCAGTTGTTTTGGTCAAGGCTACTGAGAAGCAGAAACCCAATAAAAAATGTGAGAAGCAAAAAACTATTGAGGACCAAAAGTGGGAGAGGAGCAGGGTATAAATAAACTGTAAGTCTGTGGGAATTAAGCATTTATGAAAGAGGCCCATACCCTGCGTAGGTGGAAGGATCCTCAGTGTTTCTAGAATTCGGAATGATAAAATACCCAAACATTAGATTGGTGACTTTATAGGCAAATGAACCAGCACAGTATTATTATCTTTTTGAGATGGAGTCTGTCTCACTCCAGGCTGGAGTGCAGTGGCGTGATCAGCTGGCTGCAACCTCTGCCACCCGGATTCAAGCAATTCTGCCTCAGCCTCCTGAATATCTGGGATTACAGGCATGTACCATCACACCTGGCTAATTTTTGTATTTTTAGTAGAGACAGGGTTTCACCATTTTGGCCAGGCTGGTCTCTCAACTCTTGACCTCAAATGATCCACCCACCTCGGCCTCCCAAAGTGCTGGGATTACAGGCATAAGCTACCGTGGCCAGTCCCCAGCACAGTATTCTATAGGCAAGAGTTCCTACTGCTTTGTTGGAAATTAAACTGGAAACTATGGTGTGTGTGTGTGTGTGTTTTTTTTTTTTTTTTTGGACAGTCTTGCTCAGCCACCCAGGCTGGAGTGCAGTGGTGTGATCCGGGCTCACTGCAACCTCTATCTCCCGGGTTCAAGCGATTCTCCCGTTCCAGACTCCTCCAGAGTAGATGGGATTACAGACACCCACTATCATGCCCGGCCAATTTTTGTATTTTACTAGAGACTGGGTTTCACCATGTTGGCCAGGCTGGTCTTGAACTCCTGACCTCAGGTGATCCACCTGCCTTGGCCTCCCAAGGTGCTAGGATTACAGGTGTGAGCCACTGCGCCCGTCCCAGTACATGTACCTTCAAAACTAATGCCTGAAGAACTCTTACCTATGTGTTAACAGTTGAATTTTGTCATTATAAATGAGTAGAGTTTGAGGTGATAAGGTTGACCCATATCCTAGGGGTTGCTTCTGAACTGGGATGGTCCTACACGGACTTTACTCTTGTTTCTTTGCAAGGCTAGATGTATAGGACAGAGGGAAAGCAGGTGAGGAGGTAAGGAGACTTCCTGAAGTTATTCTTCAGTGTCTTCTGTTCCTCTGTCCATCCCTCTTGATTCCTTCAGCCGATCCTATTCCCACAGGGGCTTACTTCAGTCCCCTTGTCATATCTGCTGTGCCTACTCTTGTATTTGTTGTGCTTTGGTCCTCAAATTCTCTTCATTCTCTTGTAAAATTTGAAGGGAGAGGAAATGAAAAACACCATGTCTCCTGGTTAGTGAGGAAAGGTCAGACAAGGCAATTTTATAGGGGCAGTAGGAATGTTTAGAAAATGTCAAAGCATTTGATAGTATTTTTCAGCTTTTGTATTTTTTATGTGGTGAGTATGAAGTGATCACTGTATGCTTGTAGTTAGATTTGGTGCCAGCCCAACCCACATCCACAAAAACTTGTGCCTCCTATCAGTTTACTCTTTTACCCTTGGTCATGAGAAAAGGTAATGTTACTGAGGCTAGTAGACTTAGGCAAGCATCTATCATTCAAATTTCAAAGTGGAATAATTTAAATGGGGCCTAAAATTTAGCCAGCCATTGTATTCACTGTGAATGGATAGGCAGGAAGTGTGCTAGTCATAGGTTCAACTTCTGACAAAGGTGGAGGTAGCAAGGAAAACCAGTTGAAGGACCTTAGTACCTTTCCTATGAATTATAGCAAATGGAGCACCAAGGTAATTTACATGGTAGCTGAGGACTCATTTGAATAGGTCTCAAAATTTAAACCCCACTCAGCTATATTGTTTCCATTGGCTTGATAAAGGTGAACTTTTGAGGGGTTCTTATTGTTAGTATTTCCTGGGTCTGCCACAGCCTTTCTCCCAGTACCAGCTTTCCCAGTGACGAGCTTCCTTTTACCCACTCCAGTTTCTCTTCCCTGTGTACTCTGGATCAAAATTGTAACTCCTTTCTAGAGTGCTAGAACAAAAGCTGGCATCACTTGAAGGCCTAAGGAAAGGAGAGCAAAGGGAGAGTAGAATGCAAAGTAGAATGGGAAAGAAAGTTGGATTTGAGCAACCTTGCAGGTAGTCAACTACTTAGGCAGAACCCGTCCCTTTTTGGGAACTCTGTGGTAAGGAAAAAAGTTCATAAGCAGACTTTGCAGGCAGGATTTTTAAAAATCTTAGAAAGACTCGTATTAAATAGAAGAAGAATGTCAAAGGTTGGGTGGCTTGTGAGGGATGAGCTTTGAGTGGACCCTACTTTATAATATTCCATGAAGAAATGATTAGATATATCCCAAAGACATAGAAAGACCCTTCCCCTTGTAGCCTTTTCCTTTCTGTTTTTTTTTTTTTTTTCCCCTTGCTAATGAATTATTCTGAAAGTATCCCAGGAAACGCAATGACGATGAGAATGGTGGAACAGATGTGGGTTCTATCTGGCAGTGGGCTATATTGTCTTCCTCCCCACCCCCAGAGGACATTTGGCTGAAGTACCAGAGTCCAAGAAATGTCTTGTTACTAGGCAGATAGTCTCATCTGCATAGTGTGGTGGTTTTACTCCCTCACTTCAATTCCACTGTATTTTATTTTGTTTCGCTGCATGATTGTGTTAGCTGTGTAATTCCCATTGGACCAATTAGAATTGTGTATCTAAATGCACAAAATAAAGATGAGGCACCTGAAACCCAGAGAAAATAACTCGTTCAATGTCACAGTGCAAAATAGCTGAAGTGACCCTAGATCCAAATTCACTTAATTTCCAAACGAATTCTTTTCTCACTGTATATTATCATAGCCTCTTTTATAACGGATACACGCTCATCAGGAAAGAGCTTGGATTATGAGTAATTTATAGTTAGAATGGCTCCTCCTAATCATAGCTAACCTCCAGTGTACTATTGTATGTCTTTATGCTCACGGGGAAATAAAGTCTTAGAGAATATCCAAAGAGAGGGATTATAGTAATTATGACTATTAGCTGGTACCTAAATGGGAGCAATGTGAACTACTTAAAGGAAGACACAGGAAGATAATTCATCTACCTCCGATTCCTCTACCTTGGCCCTATACCTTCTAGCCCAGGGAGATAGTCAGAACCAAGTGAAAATCAGTTTTTCTTCTATTACTACAGGTCTGCTGAAACTATAAAAGTATTAATTTGCCTTCCTGTAGTTTCCCATTGTTACCTCTCTTTTTATATCCGTTTTGTGACTATTACTTTTCTTTTTCTTTTCTTTTTTTTTGAAACGAAGTCTCGCTCTTTTCCCCCAGGCTGGAGTGCGATGGCGTGATCTCGTCTCACTACAACCTCTGCCTCCGGGGTTCAAATGAGTCTCCTGCCTCGGCCCGCCGAGTTGTTGGAAATACAGGCGCCTGCCACCATGCCCGGTTAATTTTTTATTTTATTTTATTTTTAGTAGAGACGGGGTTTCACCATGTTGGTCAGGCTGGTCTAGAACTACTGACCTCAGGTGATCCACCTGCCTCGGCCTTCCAAAGTGCTGGGATTACAGGCGTGAGGCACCATGCCCGGCCGGCTATTACTTTTCTACTATAAATGAAGACAAAAAGGGGCCTGGGATAGGCAGGGGTTGGAGAACTGGGGAGCAGACAGTCTCAGCTAAACCTTTACTTGTATTTGCTCATGGCTGGAGTCCAGTCATTGTGCTCCTCCCATTGTGAGCTAGAGTACTCACAGTTGCTACTTCCTGAAGAACTGGAAAACTTGTCTGGCACAGTATCCCATAGCATTTGGATTGTGGACATAGGAGGACAGCTGATGCAACCTGAATCTGCAGGGAGATAGACCATGAGAGAGAAGGCAGGTTGTTAGAGTACCTTGCATGGTACCATCCTATAATGCCAAACCAATCTTCTCACTGTCACTTCTCATGTTTGAATAATAATTGGAAAGAGCGAGACTTAGCAGGGAATAAAGTTACTTTTGAGCTACTACTTTTACTACTTAAAAAGTGGTGAATAGATAGAAATGGATTCCAGTTGTCCTCACTATATTAAGCTGTTGCCTCCAAAAGAAAGGGAATGAACCAAGAAGCATATAGTGGCCACTGCCTAGTATTGGCTCAACTAGATTCTGAGAGAAGGGACTTTCTGTAAAGGCTGCTACCTGGTTTTTAATACAGCAACTAGACATATATTTTGGGGTTCTAAGATAGGGTTTTTGGCTCTGAGCAGCAGATTGCTGAGAAGCAGGACATGAAGTATGGGACTTACCTGAACTATAGCCAAATGGATGTGACTGCTAATTCTTGTAGATGGCAGGCTGGCTTTCGAGAGAACCCAGAATGAATAGTAAATCTCATTTTCAGCAGAAGAGAGTACGCTATGAGGTTCACAGAAAATAGCTCTAGTAACAACAGCCCCATTAGGCACTAGATTGGATACCAGTTCCCATAGGTAAAACAATAATATTAGCTATTCTGCAAAGGCAAAACAAAAGCTAAAGAAAATTGTGA